GTGTTTTTTTGAACCATGGTTGTCGTTCAAGGGGATTTTGAATGGTTTGAACCATAGTTGGGAGCCAAAAAAATGTCAAATCGGAGAACAATGAGTAATGATATGTATATAGGGGCACAAATAGATCGTATTGGGATATATTCGGAGCTAACCCATGATAACCCTATCTAATATATATATATATATATATATTATATATATATATATTATATATATTATATATATATATATATTATATGCGTATATGTATCTATCTATCTGTATATATATATTCCTATATTACATCCCAAATATAAAGATTGGGATATATTGGAAAATCACGAGGACAACGAATTACATCAGTGACACATTGAGGGTGTATCCAACAAGACGGGAATCAAAGAAGAACATTTCAGAGTTGCGCTCCTGAAACGGACAATCAAATGAGATAGATTTCCTCTGGGCCTGTGGGCGTGACTTGCAAATCGAGTACCTTCCCGTAGCAACTTGTTACCAGTTGGTGTGTATCTCTGCGATTTACTGATTGGTGGTGCAATAACCATCTTGAAAAATATGAGTTCGTCAATGGGTTTCGGATGATCCCATATATTTTGGAAAATAATCCAGTCATGTTCCAAACCACCAACCAGTATATATTGTCATTCCAATGATTAACCTTTATGAAAACCATAGATTAACCATAGATTATTCCAGGGGTTTAAATACTATTGGGAGTTGATAGTAGTTGAGTTGACCAATCTCCATCTTTCTGGGGGTTGATAGTACTACTCACTGAGAAACCGCTGGTTGCTCTAACAGTTAAGCTGTTGGTCACATTCTTCGATATCTTGATGAAAATCACAGCAAAATGTCCGTTTCATCCCTGACTTGGTGTTTTTTGGGTGTTTGTGGCAACCATAAGAAGAAACCATATATCCGACTCAACTAAATCAACTAATTAGTAAAAACTGTGATCTGTACATCTTTGTAAACCTTTAAAACAAAAACTTTGGTAAAACCAATAGATCCGAATTATTTTACCATATTTTACCATGTTTACCCTCTGGTAAACAATGAAAAAACTATGGAAAATCACCATTTTCATGGGTAGATCCACTATTTCTATGGCCTCAATAGCTATTTTGACATAACCAGAGGGTACCAACCGGAAAGTATCAGCCCCTGGAGCGCACCTGTCGTAGAACTCGTAGTTTTCCGCCTTCCTGCCCCGCAGCAACACGTCCCGCGTGCTGCGCCAGTGCTCTGAAAAAGGAATCTCTGCAATGACCTGGGAAGGGAAGTTCGGTTGGGATCATCCCACCCCCAAAAAACATGGAGAACTACAGTATAAATATGTATATAAATATATATATATAAATGTATATCTATATACTATGTATGTATATATATAATGTAGATACTTACAGGGACTTACAGTGCATAATTGGTTAGGAGAAATACGACTTTTATGGTGAAAATCATTGAAAACAAACCATGGTGATGAGTGATAGTGATATCTTTGATACATTTTGATACTACGACTTAATCAATGGTGTTTTTGTATGTTTTTGTATGTTTTTGTGATGAAAGTGATGAAAGTGATGAACAACACACATATGGTGGGAATGATTTGGATGTGTTTTGATGATCATCCAGGACCCCTCTGGCGATCTTCCGCTCCAACAGATCCCTCCGCGCCACGGCCACACGAAAGGACCCAAGGAGCAGGGCGTTTTTCCAATTGGCACAGGAGCCTCCCAGGACCCGAGACGACCCGATTAATGATCATCTCATAGGAAAATCCATTGGAAAAGATAGGGATATCACAAAGTGTAACCATGAGAATAATTCGGAATAGTGATATATATATAGTATATATATAATATAATAATATTATAATTATAATATAGATATATAATATAAAATAATATAATAATATAATATTATATATAACAGAATATCCTGCAATTAATGGGAATAATGACCAAAAAATGTGGATATCATGACATGACAGAACTATGATAGTCAATAAGGACTTGACTATGAAATTTCTGCACATGGTGGATAGTCATGGATAGGGATGATAATGGGAAGAAATCCAGCCACTTAACATTAAACCCCCAAAAAGGTCCCAAATATGTGTAAATGCCTGACTAAACCATGCTTATATCCTCTGGGAAATTGGGCATCCTCTGCAATTTAACATCGCTATGGAAACTCACAATGCAAGTCATGTATGAATGGATGATTTTCCATTGGAAAATTGCAGAATATTGCAAGTAACCGGAAGTGAGCGAGTGTTTGGATGCGGGCTCAGAATATTGCAAGTTATGCAAACTTCATTCAAGTTCGGGATTCCTGAAAACATCAAATTCACAAATATATCAAAAATCATCAAAAATAATTATATCTAATTGTGTTGATCATATTCAAATTATTCAAGTTCTAAAGTTGACAAGCACCCAATATATATATATATATATATATATGTATACATATTGTATATAAACAATTATAAACATATATTATGATTATATTTTTTATGTGTAATTATATATATAGATATGTATGTGTGTATACATGATATCTCTGGGCCCTTTTGCAGTTCCCCACCTGGGGATCAACGTGCTGAGGAGCCGTCGGAAGGCTCCTTTGAAGTCCAGCAGCACACAGACCTCGACACGGGGATGACCTGTTTTCCGAAGCCAGTTGACCCGCTTGACCCGAAAAAATTGAACGGGGTATATGGATTATATATGGAATATATATGGATTATATGGGGATTATATATGGATTTGATTAGATATGGATTATATGGATTATATGGATAATATATGGATTATCTATATATCTAATTATACATGGAATTTGGTATTGTAATCTGGTTGGTGGTTGAGCCTACCCCTCTGACAAATGATGGAGTCCGTCAGTTGGGATGATGATTATTCCCAACTGAATGGAAAACTCCATTAAAATCCTCAAAAATTCAGTAAACCACTACAATCCATTAATCCCAACTGAATGGAAAGTCATAAAAGCCATGTTCCAAACCACCAACCAGTAATGTGTTCGATGATTTTTGCATGACCAATGTGGGTCTTGACAGTCCAATTTTTCTAAGATTTTTGTGGGTAGTACAATCGCATATAATCACCAACCAACCATCAGTTATATAGAATAATCACCATATGATACCAACCATCAAATATAATATAGTATATCAATATCATCTGTATACTATACTTGTTATCCATATAGTTTGATGGTTAAACCATGTTTAAACCGCTATCAACTGACTAGAATCATCAACCAACAATGGTTCTGAAAAATGCTCTCCTTACCAGGAGCCTGCCAGTTGTAAGCTTAACATAGGAACACAAGTGGAAGTTATTGGCCAAGAAAGACTAGAGTGATTCATGGCATTTTCCTTGGGCGATTACCCGGCCTGGTAAACGTTTACATAACGAACTGGAAAATCCACCCATTCTTTATGGGTAAATCAACTATTTCTAATTCTATGGCCATGGCTTCAATAGCTATCTATGTATGTTTACCAACTAACATCAACGAACATAGCGAACTGGAAGCCATGGCCCAGTCGAAATCGTGGAAAAATCCCCATGAAAAATGGTGGCGATCTGTCCATCGTTTTGGACGATGTATGTCTATGGGACCAGGCCAAGTCCTGTGCCATAGAAGGGGTTGCTACTGATCTGGTTGCTATATGGATTATATAGGGATTATATGGGGATTATATATGGATTATATATATATATAACTATAATATAACTATAATATAACTATATATATGGAATAAGCTCTGGTTGGTGGTTGAGCCTACCCCTCTGAAAAATGATGGAGTTTTCACGTCAGTTGGGATGATGACATTCCCAACTTTTCATGGAAAGTCATAATCCAGCCATGTTCCAGTCACCACCAAGCAGTAATGTTTTCGTCATTGTACATGCACTTCATTCTGGCCCAATTTATCGATCAAATCCATGAGATTCCATCATAAATTCACAGCTTTGTTGATGACCCAAACGACAATGTTTGGTCGGTGATTTTCTGAATGGTGAATGGTCAGTGTGAAAAAATCGCCAAGCTGCTGGAGCATCCAAAGGGATCATCTTCCTCAGTTCGGATCCTTCTGATGTGCTTCAACTATGTTAAAATGTGTTTAACAAAAATTAAAATATGCAAAATATATATATATATTAAAATACGTATGTTAGTGTATAATAAGCCATGTTTCTTCGTGCTGTCCTTATGCGGCCTATCCCTTTGCACGTGGGAATCCTCACTTTGGTGGCGTGGTTTCCTCATTTAAGTTGGTGTCCCAACTCAACGGCTTCTCACTGGAAAGGATGCCCATGCATCTTCACCCATTCTTGTATAATGTGTGATAAATAGTGGTGGAAAACACCAATTTATAGATGAGCTTCCAATTGAAATGTGACGAAATATGGCTGATGTTCCATTTAAATCCCATTTAATCCTCCACACTAATTCAAGATGTCATTCGAGTTTTTGTGAAGATCCCAATTTGAGCCCTTTAAATCTCAATTTACAGATGATTACACTGCTGTTTTTAACGGCTGCACCAAGCATCTCCGGTCGTCTTGGCAACAAACTGGGCACCCGCCAACCATCCTCACCCTGGCCCGACTCAGCAAGGCTCCCATATTTCTTGGTGAACCAAAGAAAAACATGGGTATTACTATTTATAATGGTGATTTACCCATTAATAATGGTGATTTACCCATTAATAATGGTGATTTACCCATTAATAATGGTGATTTATATGGATTATATGGATTATATATATATATATGTATATATAGCTGGTTGGTGGTGCCCCATAATTAGTTAGCTAAGTTGGTGCAAATAAATCCAATAACTATGGGAAAAATGGTGGATATATCTATAGTTAATGGGATTATAACAAATTTTATATGGAATATATCTGCATGGTTGGTGGTTTCAACCCTCTGAAAAATATGAGTTCGTCAGTTGGGATGATTATTCCCAATATATATATATACATATGGAAAAATAAACATGTTCCAAACCACAAATCAGATATAGGAAACCACCCCAAAAAGAAGAAAAAACTAAGGTTTATGCTACTTATGATCAGTGTAGTTCATGGGGTTTAACCAACTAATCACCTGATAGTAAACCACAAAAAGATAGAAACCGCATTTACCACGATTTTAGTGGGAATTTACTTGTTTATCCTTTTTGGGGCTGCTACAATCCTTCTGAAATAGTGATAATGTCCTTTCACAACGACCCCTTCAAGGCAGAAAAGTAGTTTATCCAATCCTGAAATATTGATCAAATGAGCCTTTTCATGCATCTGTTTCCGCTTTGCTCTCCATGCTGACAGAACACATTAATTATTATAAGTTGTATCAACTTGGATCATAAGGAACAATCTAAATTGGATACCACCTGGTTATTTAACATAGCCGTGGAAAATCAGCATCTTTAATAGGTGAACCATCTATAAATGGGCCACTATAAATGGGCCATTTTCCATGGCTATGTTAAATAAAGGGTAAATGAAGAGGTAAAACAACAAAATGTCCAGCACGCCTGCCGAGCATTCACCTGTACTAGGTGGCAAACACGCGTAAGTGGTTCCAACATCCAGAAAATGAGTCATTTGATGCAACAGAATGGGGATATCGACCAACAAGAATGCAGCTGCAACCAAGAAAAAACAAACTGTTTCCAAGTTTCTATTCTACACCCAGAAAATGCGGAATCAATCAGAGATACAATGATAGCAGAGTAGAAATTCAAAAAAACTCAGATATTAACTAACACCAACTGGCAAAACGGTACATATGGTATAATACATATTCATATTCACTGGTTTGCTTTCATCCTAGCCGTCCTAGTGATAGGTCTCAACCAACGACTCATGTCGTTGACAATGCACACCTTCGGGATCAGCAAGTCGAAATGTTCCAAGAATGATTGCCTTAGGCAACCGGAAAATGCGGAGTCGAAAAGTATATCAAAACCATCCTCGACAAAAGCGAGAAAAACACGGTAAAGTCATACCAGGCACTCTTTCAAAAATCAGCTGTTTACAAACGATGTTCGACTTCTACGCCCATGCATGGCCAAAAGGTGTTTCTGGGGGTTGTTCTAGTTGTGTGATGCCTCATGTATAGGACTGCAACGTGTCTTGATGTGTCTTGTGCACCCCGGTTCAAATATGCAGGCCACCGACAGAACCTGGGTCGTCTTAACATCACCCAAACTTGGCATCATCATAATCATCCAAATCTTCACAAAACAAAAAGACGTTCATGACCAACATGCACAGCATGTTGGACAGCAAATCTACGACAAGTTAAAAACTCGAAGATGTCCCACTGTCCCTTCCTCTTAGTTGGGTTTGGTGGCCCAGTGAATCCCATTAACCTGTGAAGCCAGGAGGCAGAACTCTCTGCTGCCCTTGAAATTTGGGATCTCTCCACAGAACCTGTGAAAAGCTAAGCTGGGATCGATTTTTTTCGGAGAAATCTGGGTAAAATGATGTAAAATGACAAGGGAAGCTGGTGACTGGGTCAGCACCCCTGCAGTTTTTGTAGGGATGTTACATACCCCTGGTGTATTAAGGGCCCATATACTTGGGAAGGGCTGGTCGAGTTTTCATGATGTTCTCATTGACATTACCATTTTGGGTGGTATATCCCATTTTCAGGCGCACAGGATGGACATAGTTTCTGAGCAGCTACTAGATCCTGGTATGTATGTCCAATTTATGTGTATATAATATAGTATATATGAACTTATAAGATATAATATGCCTATATATAATATAATATATATATACATATTTCATCATCAATTTCCTCCCCATAATATCCAAAGTTTGTCCCAAAAAAAAACACAAATCCCGCTTAAATCCACATCAGAAATCCCATTACAGTAGGGGTTAGGTTAGTTATATCCATTCATATCCCATATCATCTCATTCTACAGGTTTGTATCCCACGATATTCATTTTCCCATTGTATCCCGGTTACCTTTATTTATATCCCATTCATATCAGATAAAAATAAGGTATACCTGTGAAATCAAAATAAACCATCCTTAATTTTACCAGAAATGGGTTGTAAAAACCATGCCCAAATGGGAGGTGTTTGGCATTGCGGCATTGCGGTTACTACATTGCACCCATGACATCTCTCATTGTATCCATGGAATCATTGGCTACAGTACTCATTCTATCCCCCATTCAATTATGCGTTACTTACTCACAACATCACCTTGTATATCCCCATGGGTAAGGTTATGTATCCCAAAAAATATCACCCCTAACATCATTTTATATCCCATTACCCGCAATATATCCATGGAAAAAACCATTGCATAGCCCGCTATGTCCCATCCCCATCTGATTCCCATAATATCAACATCCCATCTGAATCTGTATTAAATCCGATTCATATGGAGGTTTCTCAAAGAAAAGTTACCTCAAACCATTGGTTTTTCCATTATATGGAGGTTTCCTGAAATGGGGGGTACCACCAAATCATCCATTTATGGGATTTTCCGTTGTAAACCATCCATTTTTGGGGATATCCATATATATATATATGTATGTATCTCTCATTTATGGTAATAACCAATTATATATCCCTCATTTGGGGATATCCCTCATATATATCCATATATATATATATAGATATCCATATGTTGGTATACAGTAACCAATCATAATAACCAAAATTTTGGGTGATTTTTGGGGTTCCCCGCCTCCAAAAGGTCCTTCTGCAGAAGTCCTTCCTGTCGCAAAGCCTTGGAGCGAAAAGGATCCGTCTTCAACACCGCCGGGCACGCCATCACCTGACGCGATGACTCAATGCAAAAAAGGGAAAAAACGTTGGGATAAAAATGGATAAAATGGGGTAAAAAATATTGTTGGTAATACTGTTGGTACCCAAGTTTGACATTGCTAGGTTGGTAGTCACAATTTTTGTAGTGTAGACAAATTTAGTTGTTGGTGCTTATAGGTCAATGGGTGGTAAACCAATGTATAACTAGGGCGCTCACTTTGTACAAAAGGGGATATAGGTCAAAGATGGTCAAAGGCTATAAACAAATCTGCCCCCACCGAAGTGCCGGAACGTGGGCGACAAACAAATGTAACGGTTGTAACGCAGATCCCAATGGTGACCACGTACCAAAAGAAGTAAGTAAACACTCGATTGTTTGGGCCATTTCATGCCATTTCAACAAATCTTTACAGGTCTGTTGAAGAGGTGTGCATGCAACAATGGATGGACGCTTGGTGAGTCAACCCCATGCTGCTTTGGGACATGCCGAGCACCTAGCTAACCGTGATCTACTCAATATGGAGGCAACGCACGCGCGCCAGGCGTGCTTTGGTTTCTTTGATACGACCCACTTCAGCATCATTCAACTTTCGGTTGGTCAGAGGTGTCAAATGACGACACAGAATGCGAGCGTCAGTCTTTATCAGAGGCTCAATGCTGGCAGCAACGAGTTTCTTTCTGCCAGCAGCTCTATACTATGTTTCACGCCTTACCTGTTTTGCAACTTCATTCCCAGCCAACGGGGCAATAGGGCCGAGTTTGGCCCAAGTAGGCTTCGGTTGGGCCCGAGTATGCCCATGTTCAGCCCGCATCCCCGGCTACCAGACCATACTCCTCAACTTCGAAAAACATTTCCCCTAATGACAACGTGGTGTGGGCGGTGTTTGTCACGGAGCAACATGAATAATCTGTATATATACATATAATAATCACATATATGTGCATGTGTGCACATATATATATATATATTATATACATATACATATATGTATATATAAGTATATTCAGCATTATGGGGCTACAAAGTAAGTATGTTATAAGGAAATGGGGTTGTAACCAACATCGCATTTGGCGGTTCTTAATTTGGTTTAAAGGCTAGACTGGTGATTTAATGGGGATATCAACGGTGATAGAAAATGGATAAAATGAACAGTGATCTAATGGTAAACATGAATAGAATGGGATAGAGCCGAGATGTAATGAATATGGGTCAAATTAATGTGGTGCAAATAGAACCACATATGGAGAAAACCACTTGAAATCTTCGCGACACCCACCCTGACTTTTTTGGTTTTCAAGGGTCCTTTGTTGCAAAGGATAACAGCACAGGATCAGGGTTTCAAAATGGCTACCCATAATTCACATTTTGAGGTTGCCCTCACAAATGGTCAAAATTTGGTTCTTGCAGAAGTTGGATCGTTTCGTAGCATACCTGTACTTCGAGTACTTTTCTACCCATCTCCGTTCCTCAGAGGAATGGTGGATTTTGGATTTCCCCAATGTGGTTGGCTATAAACATCCAAGATGAATACAGTATTTCAATGGATTGGTTTAAGGGAAAATCTACACCGGAAACCAGAGTTATTTTCCCATTAAAATCATGAGGCTTTCCGATTAAAACTTTCCCTTCAACCAAATCCATTGAGTATTAACTTCATTAGTTTATCTTTTGAGCCTTGGTGACTGCCAGTCATAATTTTCGTGCTGTCTGCCTAGTCGCATTTGGCGAAAATATCACGAGGCTCTAGTTGTTTTAAGGGAAAATCTATAGGAAACCAAAGCTATTTTCCCATGAAATATGTGGTTTTCCTAAGTTTTCCTGTTTCAATTTACCAAAAAAAAACAATCCATGGATGGTTTCAGTCTACTGAAACAGTATCTCCCCATCCTTTGTCGGCTACTAAAAAGGATGCCCCAATTGCCATTTTGGGGTATCCCGTAACTTTTTGAACATATGGAGCTTTCCTAAGGTATGAGGTATCCCAATAGCTGGATGGTTTATAATGGAAAATCCCCTCTATAAGTGGATGATTTGCATATAGACGTCTAACACATTCAGTGAACTTAATTGGTAAAGCCTACTTAGTGGCTCACAACACTTCGAAAGAAGGCACCCAGCACTAGCTATGGGTAGCTATATGGGATCTATGGGTAAGTAAAATTCGTCCGCGTCGGTTATATTACAAGTTATAATCCATTTGTAAAAAGGAAAAAACAAACTGCAGCTGGTTGGTAGTTGAGCCACCCCTCTGAAAAATCATGGAGTTCGTCAGTTGGGATCATTATTCCCAACTGAATGGAAAGTCATTCAAAATTCCATGGTTCCAAACATTTCCAGTCACCACCAACCAGACAGTAATCCCTTCCACCTAGAAATCATGGGCGGCGGAAGTAGGTTTTTTGTCACATATTTTGGAACCATTGAGGAGATATTTAATAGAGGGATGGTATTACAGAAATTATACCCTCTGGTAAACATACAAAAAACTATTGAAAGTTGCCATAGAAATAGTGGATTTACCCATTAAAAATGGTGATTTTCCATAGGTACGTTAGTTTACCAGAGGGTAACTTCCAACATCTTCCTACATCTCAGCAGGGTTCCATCGTTTATCAGATATATCCACTTATATAACGATTTACATCCCCGTAGTTTGATGGTTAAAACTTTATTAAATCACCATCAATTCATCCATCAATTCATATGAAAAACATATCATCTACCCTCTGGTGAACTAACATAGCAATGGAAAATCACCATTTTTGATGGGAAAATCCACTATAAATAGCCATTTTCCATTGCTATGTTAGTTTACCAGAGGGTATCTTCTGATGCTTCAAAAACCCTCCAGGAATGCCCTCCAGGAATCTGACAGTGGATTTTCCAGCCATGGTTTCTTTTAAAAAAAAATACCACAAAGTCACCATCATGAGACTGATTACCAGGTTACCACTTGGGTTTTTATTTGAAAAAAAAATGTTTTAATTTTTTTCAAGCCAAGTTTTTGAATTTTACCAGAGGGACCACCAAAAAAGTCTCCAAAGAAATCATCCACCCAACTGATCCACTGGCGCCTGTGCCATCGCATCTAGGAGCCACTGGGGTGTCAAGACCACCGCGGGAGATCCCTGACAAACGAAAGAATTGTGAGTCCACCATCAAAACTCATCAAAACTGATGAGTGTAACATGGTGATTCAAGTTTTGAATGATTAGTTTTATAATCAACTGATTTAAGTTTTTCAAAACTAATGAGTTTCATAATCAACTGATGAGTTTGATGTAAGTGTAACTAGCCAACATGGTGATTTATGAAAAAAAACAACCTTAAAAAAAGAAACCCAACACTTGGATTAATTTGGATTTAACTGAAAAATAAGGATATGATGTTGTGAGAAAATGGCGGAGACCTCAATTTTGACGGGGAACATGCTGATAATCAGACGATTTAGGATCTCTCCCTCTTTTCAAGAACAAAATGGCCATTATTTCATAGAATAACATAGACCCGGGCAAGCCGGCGGCGGAAGTTTCCCAAACATAAATGACCTATAGTTCAAAGACAACCTGTCCCGACCGTGTCCTTCCCTCGACACTCCACACCTCACACTGCACACTGCACTCTTCGCACTCCAAACTTCAAAGTTCACACTCCACACTCCACACTTCTCACTTCTCACTGCTTCCTTCACACTCCAAACCTCACACTTCACACTTCACACTGCACACTTCACACTTCACAGTCCACACTTCACACTTCACACTTCACAGTCCACACTTCACACTTCACACTTCACAGTCCACATTCTCACTTCGCACTTCACACTTCACACTTCACACTCCACATTTCACACTTCTCACTTCTCACTGCTTCCTTCACACTCCAAACTTCACACTTCACACTTCACACTTCTCACTTCGCACTTCACACTCCACACTTCACAGTCCACACTTCACACTTCTCACTTCACACTTCTCACTGCTCACTGCTTCCTTCACACTCCAAACTTCACACTTCTCACTTCGCACTTCACACTCCACACTTCACACTCCACACTTCACACTTCTCACTTCTCACTGCTTCCTTCCCACTCCACACTTCACACTCCAAACTTCACACTTCTCACTTCGCACTTCACACTTCTCACTGCTTCCTTCACACTTTCACACTCCTTACACTTCACACTTCACACTCCACACGCCTCACCTTCCACTCACTGCACACTTCCCACTTCTCACTGCTTTTCACACTCCAAAACTCACACTTCTCACTTCGCACTTCGCACTCCACACTTCACTCACACTTCACACTTCACAGTCCACACTTCACACTTCTCACTGCTTCCTTCACACTCCAAACCTCACACTTCACACTTCACACTGCGCTCTTCGCACTCCAAACTTAGACTTCACACTCCACACTTCACACTTCTCACTGCTTCCTTCACATTCCAAACCTCACACTTCACACTTCACACTTCACACTGCGCTCTTCGCACTCCAAACTTAAACTTCACACTTCACATTCCACACTTCACACTCCACACTTCACACTGCTTCCTTCACACTTGACGCTTCACACTGCACTCTTCACGCCCCACACTTCGCACTGCTCTAAATCTACGTGCAGCAAAAAAACATTAGTGCCAAAATGGAGAAAATCTGCTAACAAATCCAGGTCGCAGCTTTCATGCAGCCACTCCAAGACGATTTCCGAGATCCAGCTGCAAAAGACATTAGTATTACGAATGCAGCCACAGCACGAAGCAACCTTGACGCAGCCATTACAATGCGATCTGCAGAGACTGAGTTGCAAAACACAATAGAACTACGCGCAACGGCGTCGGAAATTGTAGCTCCAAAACCGGATCTCGACGCCAGAGCGAAAAAAAAGACGATTTTGAAGCACTTTTTAAAAGGATTTTTAGAAGGAAAATCACTAGCGCCAAAATGGAGAAAATCTCCTGACAAATCACTGTCGCAGCCTTCATGCAGCCACTCCAATACGATTTACGAGATCCAGCTGCAAAAGACAATAGTATTACGAATGCAACCACAGCACGAAGCAACCTTGACGCAGCCATTACAATGCGATCTGCAGAGACTGAGTTGCAAAACACAATAGAACTACGCGCAACGGCGTCGGAAATTGTAGCTCCAAAACCGGATCTCGACGCTAGAGCGAAAAAAAGACGATTTTGAAACACTTTTTAAAAGGATTTTTAGAAGGAAAATCACTAGCGCCAAAATGGAGAAAATCTCCTGACAAATCACTGTCGCAGCCTTCATGCAGCCACTCCAATACGATTTACGAGATCCAGCTGCAAAAGACAATAGTATTACGAATGCAACCACAGCACGAAGCAACCTTGACGCAGCCATTACAATGCGATCTGCAGAGACTGAGTTGCAAAACACAATAGAACTACGCGCAACGGCGTCAGAAATTGTAGCTCCAAAACCGGATCTCGACGCCAGAGCGAAAAAAAGACGATTTTGAAGCACTTTTTAAAATGATTTTTAGAAGGAAAATCACTAGCGCCAAAATGGAGAAAATCTGCTGACAAATCACTGTCGCAGCCTTCATGCAGCCACTCCAATACGATTTACGAAGTCCAGCTGCAAAAGACAATAGTATTACGCATGCAGCCAAAGCAGGAAGCAACCTTGCAATCCCATTTACATTGCGGGCAGGATCCTACAGTTGCAAATCACAATGGAATTCCATCGGCAACTCATCCACCAGCACCACTTGCAATCCCATTTACATTGCGGGAACGATCCTACAGTTGCAAATCACAATGGAATTCTGTCGACCACAAATGCACGAAACACAGGTGACACCCCATTTACAATGCGGAACCGATCCGAGAATGATCCGAGGATGATCCGAACATATCCGAGAATGATCCGACCACACACGAGACCGTCTCGCACCCGTCGCACCGCAGAGGTAGATCATCGAGGTTCGGGGACGCACTTTGTATGGAAAAACATAGGGTTTCGTGCATCTGCTATCTCTCAAAAACGCATTTCGTGCGAGACTTCCTTCAAAACTCCATCGGCAACTCGTCCACCAGCACCACTTGCAATCCCATTTACATTGCGGGAACGATCCTAGAGTTGCAAATCACAATGCAATTCCATCAGCAACTCATCCACCAGCACCACTTGCATCCCATTTACAATGCGGGAACGATCCGACAGTTGCAAATCACAATGGAATTCTGTCGACCACACATGCACGAAAAACAGTTGACACCCCATTTACAATGCAGAACCGATCCGACCATGATCCGCCCATGATCCGAACATGATCCGAGCATGATCCGACCACACACGAGACCGTCTCGCACCCGTCGCACCGCAGAGGTAGATCATCGAGGTTCGGGGACGCACTTTGTATGGAAAAACATAGGGTTTCGTGCATCTGCTCTCTCTCAAAAACGCATTTCGTGCGAGACTTCCTTCAAAACTCCATCGGCAACTCATCCGGCAGCACCACTTGCAATCCCATTTGCATTGCGGGAACAATCAATGCCCTAACTAACTCTTTCTTTGACTAACCCTTTCCCTGACGAACTCTTTCTTTGCTAACTCTTTCTTTGACTACCTCATATATCCTGACTAACTCTGTCTTTGACAAACTCTTTCCCTCACTAACTCTTTCTTTAACTAACTCTTTCTTTGACTAACTGTTTCTTTGACTAACTCTTTCTTTGACTAACTTTTTCCCTGACTAACTGTTTCTTTGACTAACTCTTTCTTTGACTAACTCTTTCTTTGACTAACTCTTTCCCTGACTAACTGTTTCTTTGACTAACTCTTTCTTTGACTAACTCTTTCCCTGACTAACTCTTTCTTTGACTAACTCTTTCTTTGACTAACTCTTTCCCTGACTAACTGTTTCTTTGATAACTCTTTCTTTGACTAACTGTTTCTTTGCTAACTCTTTCCCTCACTAACTCTTTCTTTGACTAACTCTTTCCCTGACTAACTCTTTCTTTGACTAACTCTTTCCCTGACTAACTGTTTCTTTGACTAACTCTTTCCCTGACTAACTGTTTCTTTGACTAACTCTTTCTTTGACTAACTCTTTCCCTGGCTAACTGTTTCTTTGACTAACTCTTTCTTTGACTAACTCTTTCTTTGACTAACTTTCCCTGACTAACTATTTCTTTGACTAACTCTTTCTTTGACTAACTCTTTCTTTGACTAACTCTTTCCCTGACTAACTCTTTCCCTGACTAACTCTTTCTTTGACTAACTCTTTCTTTGACTAACTCTTTCCCTGACTAACTGTTTCTTTGACTAACTCTTTCTTTGACTAACTCTTTCCCTGACATTCTAAAAGTCCGTAACACGGAAGTTTCTCCCCCTAAACTTCCTTTGATTAACACTACTGTGGCCGATGACCTTTCTGTACTGTAGATTCTTCAAATAAAAAAACAGCATTCTTATGGTGAATTCAGGGCACTTTTTTGAAAAAAAAAACGTCATTTTTAGGGGTGGTCTCGATTGCTGAACGTTAGGAGTTGTCTAAAAAAATGGATCTCATATGATCTCATCATTTTCTCCATGATTTGATGGCCGCGTATCCCCTTCATTCAGGACGGTCAAAATGACAACCGCACCATGAAATACCGGGTAGCCTCTGGTAAACATACAAACAACATCAAAAAACCTATGGAATATCATGGGAATATGATGGGAATATGATGGGAATATGATGGGAATAAGGGATACCCTCTGGTAAACATACAAAAAACGATGGAACATTACCATTTTGTAGCTGAGTAAATCAAGTATTTCTATGAACATGTTCAATAGCTATGTAAACGTTTGCCAGAGGGTAGCCTTTTAGCCCATGGGGACTGCTCGCATCCCCCTTGTTGATCTGGTTTTTCGTGCTGGCCTTGAAATATAGCAGCTGCCCCAAGCGATGGAAAAGTCCTGCGAACTTCGGCCGTGAGGCGATCGAAATTGCGAAAAAAAGTACATGCTGCTGGGTACTTCCCAAAAAATCAGTCCCATCCGGAAAAGTTCCCGATATTTTTTCTTATCCATGAACATCCTTATTCCAATTGGGAAGTTCCATAACAATTCCTTCTGGTAAGCTCCCTAACTCACCACGTTGACATAATAAAAATCCACCATTTTTTTTATCCTTTGTTGGATGAATCACAATTTTATTTGGGGCTGAATAAATCCCGAAATTTTGCTGTTGAAGTCCCATCATTTTTGGATGGTTCAATCATGTGAAATCCAACGATTTTTCCTAGTAAAATCATCAAGTTTTGGATGATTGGTGTATTAAATCATCTCTTAAATCCCATAAAATCCACCATTTTGATGATTTTTCCCATATAAAATCCTCATTTCGAAAGGAATTCTTCATATTTGGTTGGTGAAATCACCATTTTTCCCACAAAAAATCGCCCGTTTTGGCCTAGGAAGAGCTCCAGCTGCTGGCCATCCATGTCCAGCTCCGCCGCCAAGGCGCAGCAACGATCCAGGGCGATGCAGGGCTCATGGAGGCCTCGCTGGGAAGATCTGGGAAAAACTGGGAATTTCTTGGAAAAATCTGGAAAACATTTGGGAAAAATCTGGGAAAAATCTGGGAAAAATCTTGGAAAAATCTGGGAAAAATCTGGGAAAAATCTGGGAAAAAATCTGGGAAAAATCTGGGAAAAATCTGGGAAAAATCTGGGAAAAAATCTTGGAAAAATCTGGGAAAAATCTGGGAAAAATCTGGGAAAAATCTGGGAAAAATCTGGAAAACATTTGGGAAAAATCTGGGAAAAATCTTGGAAAATTCTGGGAAAAATCTGGAAAACATTTGGGAAAAATCTTGGAAAATTCTGGGAAAAATCTGGAAAACATCTGGGAAAAATCTGGGAAAAATCTGGGAAAAATCTGAGAAAAATCTGGGAAAAATCTGGGAAAAATCTGGGAAAAATCTGGAAAACATTTGGGAAAAATCTGGGAAAAATCTGGGAAAAATCTGGGAAAAATCTGGGAAAAATCTGGGAAAAATCTTGGGAGAAATGTTGGAAAATCTGAGAAAATCTGGACATTTGACAAAGAATCTTGAAACATCTAGGAAAAATCGGAAAAAAACACCTGTTTGCAAAGCCATCCAATACTGATCCAACTAAAATAATTAAGGGTATTGCCCACTCATGAGAAATGGTTCAAATCAACCATTTTGTGCTCAAGTAATCTTGAAACATTGAAACCTTTACAAGAGTATCGTCAATTGTGGGTCAAAATTCTCAATTTCTTTGAGCCGATTCCAAGCATTTCCGTTTTTTTCTCCTCAGTGGCACAGTTGGTGAGGACTGGGGGTACCCCTGTTTTAGGAAACAACCATGTATGACCCTCTGGTAATTTAATATAGCTATTGAACATTGCCATAGAATTAGTTGATTTTCCCATTAAAAATGGTGGATCGTTCCATAGTTATGTAAACGTTTACCAGAGGGTATATCACCATTAATCACCATTGATCACCATGAATTATCATTGTTAACCACTATTAACATACATCTATCACCACTAATGTCTTGGGTTGAACCACTTTTAGGAAACAACCACATATTAAATATGGGGCAAACGGAAAACCCTTGGTTTTTGAGCCATCAGAAACTTCTCCCCCGTTTTTTCGAAAATCTCTGGTGAAATCGGTGAATTTGTTTGGGTCGTGAAAACTTGGTGCAAACAATTTTTTTATTGTGGTATAGTGTGGTGAAATTTTCGAAAATCAAACAACTGGAAAAAAATGGTAGTATGTGGTTAATTGTGTGTGTGTGTTTAATTCTGGTATAATCGTGGTTAAACTAGAAAAAAACTGGATTTCATCAACAAACAAAAGATCATCTGTTTCAATCTCAAGAATTGAAAATCAAGCGCCAAAACTAGGGACTGTACCAACACCAAGGGTTACCCTCCAGTAAACCAACATAGCAATGGACAAGCCGCAATTATAGATGTTTTACCTCCTAAGAATGCTGATTTTCCATACCCTCCGGTAGTCAAACAGAGCGGGAAATCCCCTCAAAATGGAAGTTTTAATGGAAAATTATGGAAAATCCTCAACAAATGGTTAATTTTCAATTTGTCAAGTGCTGTCTTTCTTTGGACACCAGAGGGTGTGTTAGTTTTTGTTGAGTTTTCCAGACAGTAAAATTCGATGGTGAGTTTCCCGCAAAAAAAAAATCACCATGAAAATCACCATTATTCACCGGGTGATTGGTGATCATTAACCATTCACCATCCATGAAAAACACCATTATTCACCATGAATAACTGACAACTATTCACCACTATTCATGAAATATCATCCATTCATCATCCATTCGTCATCCCTTTATTCACCATGAACAATCATTATCATCATTATTCAGAATTATTCACCATTCACCAGGTGATTGGTGATTATTAACCATTCATCATCCATGAAAAACACCATTATTCACCATAAATAACTCACCATTACTCACCATTACTCACCATTGTTCACCATTAGTCACCAAATACCATCCATTCATCATCCTTTCATCATCCATCTTTGACCATGAACAATCATTATCATCAATCTCACCATTGGATGTATCACTCCTATAAACTGGTTAAGATCATCCATCAATCATCCATCAACGACCATCAATCCATCATTATTCATCCATCAATCACCATTTGTTGTTGGTTTTCATTAGACACCATTCATCCATCAGTATTATTCTTCACTATTCATCATCCATCCATCCATTCATCATCCATGATTCATCCGTTTTTCACCATGAATAATCATTATCATCATTATTCACCATTATTCACCAGGTGATTGCTGATTCTTAACCATTCATCATCCATGAAAATCACCATTTTTGGCCATGAATAACTCACCAATTATTCACCATTAATCATCAAATATCATCCATCATCATCCATTATTACCATGTATTCACCATAAATAAACCACATATTCACCATGAATCTCACCATTATTAACCATTATTAACCACCTTCCAGGCCGCAGAAACTGCTCAGTCCACCTTCCAGGCGGTGGAAGAAATGCGCCCAGCGCGTGGGGATCGTCCCCAGCTCCTGGGCCACCTTCGAGGCCAAGGCGCTCACCTCCTCGGGTTTCAGGAATATAAAGGATATTTATATATATATAGGGTATATATATATATATATGGGATATTTAAAGGACTTTTTTTTTAAACCATATATATATAATATCTGTATAATATATATATATATAATATTTTTAATATATATATATATATAAAAGTGTTATATGTAATTTTCGAAACTTGCATTTCGTGTGGGTGAAGCGCGCTTTTCCTCTTTTCATTCCTTTTAACTTGTGGCCAGCAACGAATTTGAGCACGTGCATTCTGCGAGGCAGGCGCGGTGTTTTGCGATGGTTGTAAAAAATATGTTTAAAAAAAAAAAAAAAACGTTTTCATTTTTGCTGGCAGGCGCGCGGGATTCTCGCATTTTTTGATGTGTTGAATTGTGGTTTTTTCTGTCTTTTATCGTGGTTCATGGTTGTGCGTATTTTTTCTTCATTGAACGGCACGTTTATTTTGTGTGGCAGGCGCAGTGCTTTGCGATGGTTGAAAAAGTGACAGTTTCATTTTTGCTGGCAGTCGCACGGGATTTTTGCGTTTGTTGATGTATCGAAAGTGTGAGTTTTCATCTTGTTTTTTGTGTGGTGGTTCATGTCTTTCCTTATGTTTCTTTCAATAAAAGGTTAATTTGTCTTTTCAATTGTTTCAGCGTGACACGTCTTTTTTTGTATGTTATGTTCCCTTTTTTGTTCTCTTTTGCGGGGGGTTAGGGGGGGGTGGGGTGGCGATAGCAGCGTTCTCCCCGCGCCTATCATGCTACGCTACATGTACGCGCGCTAGACCTTTGCCCCTTTTTACCTGCGCCGCAGGGCACGACTGAAAAAAACACCCGTGTCGGTCAAAAGGGGTCACGTTTTTTTCTAAGAAATCAAGAAAAACATGCGTGTCATTGCCGTGTCGTGTCGGTAGAGGGTGTCCAATAAGCATTCCTCAGAAACGTGTCGGGTTCTTCTCGCCAAAATGAACGTGGGTAGGATTGGAAGATTTCGGGTTGGAACTAATTATTTTCTAGTGTGCCATCTCCATGAACGCTAAGGGGTGTCCATTAGGCACCCCTTAAGAATCTCAATTTGTGAAATTCATTAGGCACCCCTTTGAACGTGCTGGTATGTATATGTATCTAACAAAATCTAGTTGTATGGTGTGTCTTTAGGACAAAATTCGTGATTGGGATGGGGGTTGAAGCGATCATCACCAACAGGGGATGAATCTTTATCAGCTTCTAAGGGTTCTCTGTATCTTGTTTCCTCAACAAAGTCGCAGATTGTTTTGTTTGAAGCAAAAGAAAACTTGAAGGACACTACAAGAATGGGAATTTAAAAAAATATATTATGACTATAATGCATGTATATATTTATAAATATTTAAATGAATTTTATATGATTATCACATGTAGATCACGTAGATATAGATGAAAGCATCTCCAATAGCCAAGGGAATGCGTACACAAATCGGCTGGGTCCGCAAAATCGACATCAGCTAAGACACTCGTCGAAGATGTTGGATGCTTCGAAGGCTCTCCGGCGTATTTTGCTGATTGTCCACAGGAAAGAACAGCAGCCCATCTTCTTGATTCCTGTGGCGCAGTTGCTGCTATCCTTAAAACCATGGCCGTATGGGACAAAATGACAAAATCTGACAAAAAGGCAAGAGATTGTCCATAAGTCATAGTGGTGATGTGTCATTTCTGGCTACCGGAGTCTTTTTTTTCGAAAATTGAGAACGGAACATTTTTTGATGCGGGCTACCCTGGGTAAAATCACTAGGGTGACCCCCCAAAATAATTTCTGGGATTTATTCTGAGGTGCTTCTAGTACATAACCCACTACAAAATATTTTTTCCAAAACACTCTAACCACCCCAAAATAATATCCTTTATCACTACCCACCTCCTCAAAATAATTTCTGAAAATTTGCAAATAAATTATTTTGTAGGGTTCTACTATTACTCAAAAACACTTCCCTTAGTTCAAAATAATTTTGGAAATTATTTCAAGGTGGTTTAAGATGGTTTTGGATGATTGAAAAAACAAGTAGAACCACCTCAAAATAAATAGCAAAAATCCCCACAAAATTATTTTGGGGGGTCACCCTACCTATCCTCCCGAATGCACCCGACAAGCATTGTCGGAATTTCATGATTGAGACCATCGATTTTTGGACAAAGAAATCTGAATCGACCCCTTCCTACCCCATAAATTATTTTGGGGGTGGTTAACTACTAAACCACCCCAGAAATAATAATAGCCTAAACTGGAAAAATTAACTTCCCATTGAGTAGTTCAAAATCCAAATTGCCTCGAACAGACAAACCCTGAGATTTACCATGAATTACTTGCTGAACTAATTATTTTTTAGAACATCGACTTAGCATCGGCTTTTGGGCAAAGAAACCTGAATCGATTCCTCTCTCCCCAGAAATTATTTTGGGGGTGGTTAACTACTAGACCACCCCAGAAATCCAAAATAACCTAACCTTGCAAACTCAACTTCCCTGGAATAGGTCAAAAATGCCAAACCTGATCCAAATTGACCCAAACTGTCTGAAAGAATCAAACCATGAGAACCTAATTATTTTGGGGGTGGTAAACTACTAAACCACCTATGATTTAGACCATCGATTTTTGGACAAAGAAATCTGAATCGACCCCTTCCTACCCCATAAATTATTTTGGGGGTGGTTAACTACTAAACCACCCCAGAAATAATAATAGCCTAAACTGGCAAAATTAACTTCCCATTGAGTAGTTCAAAATCCAAATTGCCTCGAACAGACAAACCCTGAGATTTACCATGAATTACTGGCTGAACTAATTATTTTTTAGAACATCGACTTAGCATCGGCTTTTGGGCAAAGAAACCTGAATCGATTCCTCTCTCCCCAAAAATTATTTTGGGGGTGGTTAACTACTAGACCACCCCAGAAATCCAAAAAAACCTAACCTTGCAAAACTCAACTTCCCTGGGATGTGTTGGGATTGACGGGATGTGGCTTGAATGAAGTTGGAAATGGCTGCAGATTGATTCAAAGAATATCCTGACTGAACATGTTGAAATATGTAGTTGAAATTTGATGTAATATGCTGAAATTATTTTGCAGGTGGTTTGCAAGTACCCCCACCCCATGAAATAATTTTCATCATGGGTGTCTGGTAATTATTTTATACAGTTGGAACTATATGAAATAATTTCCCCAGTTCAACTGAGAAATTATTTTGAGGTGCCTTAAGTTGTTTGTTTAAAATTATTTCAAGGTGCTTCAACCTCTGTAGGTGGAAAATTATTTTGCACCATCATCAAGGTACGGGTGCAAAAATTATTTTGCTATGGCTCTTGTCGGGTGATTTTAACATAAAATTTATGTTAAAAATTGGAAATTATTTTAAAAAAAATATTTTGGAACCAACCCCCACCTCAAAATAATTTCCTAAGGTAGGACGCATATTTTTTGTAAGCATGAAAAATAGCCGGATCCACATTCAAATTGGTTACTGGATATACAAATACCAAGTTACTTCACAGTCACCCATAAACATCCATAAACATCGGTAAATTCTTGGGAAAATCACCAGTCGACAAACATCCAACGCACAAATTTCAACTACGGCGGCTCCAGCATTTCTTTAAGATATACTGTATATCATGCATTCATCTACATACAATAGATAGATATACACTGGAAAAGTATTAATATAGATATGTACCTATCTGGCCGATATGCAAAATATACTGTAAAATGTCAACTCCGGATTAATAAACCATGGTCTATTAATTAGGGGGGTACTCCTCCAATAGTCATTTTATCTAATACTTTTTTATGGTACCCTCCCAATTAAACAGCCGTTTGGGGTTTATTAATCCAGGGGCGACATTACTATAATCATTTGAAAAAAACCTACAAAAACATCATGTGTATGACAAGGTATGACAAATTTCCCCTGGAAACCATGGATGTTTGTCAAACCGGAGGCGGCGCATACGTCTTGGCCCACATGGTTGCTTTGTTGACATAGGATTTACCGTTAGATCATATATAGGTTATAACCATGGGATCATATATAGGTTATATACTTTGGATATCTTTGGATAACATAGGATCATAATATAAAATATGGGTTTGTCTGAAAATAAGGTAATAACATGTAATAATCCTAAAATCCATTGTTTATTATTATCTGGTTGGTGGTTAAACAAAACCCTCTGAAAAATGATGGAGTTCGTCAGTTGGGATGATGACATTTATCCCAATATATGGAAAAAAAGATCATGTTCCAAACCACCAACCAGTATAAGTCGCCTTATTAAAGTATGGTTATTTGATGTTATTTGGGAAATCTGTCCTAAATGGGCCCATCTACTTTTCCACAACCAAAGGCATGGCACCCAAGATTTACGCCGAGACCCTACTTGGAAGATCCCAGGACTCGTAAGTGGTCAGTACACGCATAACCCGTTTGAATGTGGACTTACTATCATGGAAGTTTAGGACTACAGACATGACATTTTGTTTGGCCTTTGGCCTGTCTCGACAGGCGTTTTTTGTGGGCATGGCTTAGGCCTGATGATACCCCCCAAACAATAGGATGTTTGAGAAAACCCTAAACAATGATTGATGCTTTAGACCTAAGCCTTGACGATGGGAAACCAAGCTGCCCCAGCATGTTGTGGTGCCGCAAGCGTTTTTGAAGATGAAAGTCAAGGCCTCAAGGATTTCGATGGCGCCACTTGGAGCCACGAAGGTTCCCGAGCCACAAATTCTGAATGTTCATGGGCAATAGGGATATCCGAATATAAAACATAACCAATGTATTTTGATGTATCAAATGGGGAATATGATGAGATATCAAGAAAAATATTTACTAATATACATATGTAAGATATGTATGTGATAATGGACAGTGACCCTTTTTGCAATGTACCAATGAACATCTGGGTATGTGGTTAAAAAAAAATCGTGCAGCCCCAACCCCATGTTCAGATCCCACTCATTCTCGTTGTTAATATCCATATCCCAGTCATATCCCTATTTTCATAGAATTGGATGATGGGAAAATTTACAGGAAACCCCTATATTTGATGGTAAAAACCATGGTTTCCTGTAGATTTTCCCTTAAACCAATCCAATGATTGATGATTAGACTCAGCAGCTCGACCCCCCTTGGAAGCAACCGACATTTTTACCCCAAGTCATGGCTGGGTGGCACCACATCCTGGTGGCACACAACAGAGACGGCATCAAAAGGAAGGGGCTTCCGTAATACTCCAATGGTTCTTATCCAATCATCCATTGATATTTTGCTTAAATCCGTAGGTCCTGATTGGTGTCTCGCAGCATCTTTCAATCTGGTCATTAAAATCGACCGATTTCCCAGCCAGCCATAACTGCAATCACTCCCAAAGATGTTTTTTTCTTGGTCAAATTACTATAAAGTGACCTAATAATATCAAATTACTATGAAGTTACCTCATATTATTTCAAATTACTATAAAGTTACCTAATAATAATGATAATAATAATAGTAGTAATAATAAGACACGCGTTCTGTGGTAAACTCAATGCGCTCTTTCCCGCCAGTCGATGGCAACTAAACCACCCATTTATGACGATTTTGGAGATGGTTTTCCAATTTATAGTGCCATTTATAGTGAGTTTTCCCATTAAAAATGGTGGATCTTTCCATAGCTATGTAAACCTTTACCAGAGGGTATTATTGGGTTTAACGACATTTTTGTTATCCCCAATATATCCCTATGATTATCCCATTCAGATACTATCTGGGCAAATTATAATAATTCACTAACCTGAATAGTTAGGCCATATTTGGATAAGTCCCCTTACTATGATTCCAGGGCTCGGGAGAACAGGGTTCGGTCGTGATGAAATTTACCCAGATAAAGCTGATAAAGTTGGTCTCAAATCACGATTCAGAATCTCCCTTTTTCTTGGATAAATGACTATCAAGTCACCATAAAACACTATTAAATCACTATTAAATCACTATTAAATCACCATTGTTGTTGGTTAATGTTGGTTATGTATCACCATCAACCACCATTTTTCTTGGTTAATATTACCATAAAATCCCGGTAAATCACCATCAATCACTATTAAAGCACCATAAAAGCCCACCAGTTTCCGTTTCCAAAACCGGATTTCCCAACACCGCGCCAAGAGTCGGTCATAAACTTCCTGGCGCATGGACTCTTCGATGGCATCAGCATGACCTTGGTCAAAGACATCTCGGAAACATCTGGGCTTTACGGCTTTATATGGTGATTTCATGGTGACATAACCAACATTAACCAACAAAAATGGTGATATAATTGTGATTTAATAGTACATTAATAGGCAATTCAATTCTATGAGGCTCCACCAAAAGGACACTTCCCAAAAATTGCCTCATTGAATCCCATGAAATATACCATTTTTCATCACCATTTTTCTTGGTGAAAAATCACCATGAAAAATCACCATATCACTGATATCACCATATAAATCACAATGTTGCATCAATCACCATGAAAAATCACCATCCATATCACCATATAAATCACAATTAAAGCACTATTAAATGGGATATTTCATGGGATTCAATGAGGCAATTTTTGGGATTGGTGTCCTTTTGGTGGAGCCTCATAGAATTGAATTGCCTACTAATGTACTATTAAATCACAATTAAATCACATTTTTTGTTGGTTAATGTTGGTTATGTCACCATGAAATCACCCACGGCTCCAATGTGAACCAAGAAACTTCCGACAATGACCAGCCAGGCGTCTTTCGCATGGACCAGTAAAGCGGCCAACCAAAAATCCATCGATTCGACTTTCTCCTTGGTGAAAATGGCCCATTTAACCAACAATCAATGGGAATAGTGATAGAAATAGTGGATTTTTCCCATTAAAAATGGTGATTTTCCATAGTTATCTTAAATTACCAGAGGGTATCAATGGGAGATCTCCAGGATCCAATTGATTGGAGGTACGTAACTGTACCATATTTTTGGCCATATGAATTGTGGGGATATTCCCTGAAATTTAGGCCTAAAAAATAGGCCTTATATATGGTAGGTACCTCCAATCAATCGGTTCCTGAAATGGCCATGGAAACAATGTCCATCAACCACGGGGATTGAATTTCACTTCGTGGAAATAGAAGGGCTGGTTGGTGGTATACCTACCAACCCCTCTGAAAAATATTAGTTGGGATGATGAAATTCCCAATTGGAAAAATAAAATTCATGTTCCGAACCACCAACCAGTGGGTATGTAACCCACTTAATATGATCTGGAAATGGCTTGGAAAAAAGCCAAAAGATGAATTCGAACGAGGAAAATGATGATAAACCATCAAGTTCGCGGTATTTGCGGCGGTATTCTATGTTCACACAACTTTTTTGGGGGGCCGTAGAAAAATGGGGTCTGACACCAATACTGTCTTTGAGAACAATGATGACCTAAGCATTAAATTTAGGACGATTTAGAGGTAGCTTCATTTTCTGGGACAACTCCATATTTCAAAGGGAATTCCAGGATCCTAAAATGGAGGTACGTTGATACCATATATATGGTAGGTACCCCCAATTTAGGTTCCTGAAATGGCCATCGATGGAAGTAAAGGATCCACAAATAATGCCTCGAATGCCTTCAAAGGTGACAAGTGAAAAACAACGCATTGAAGAAGAATGCTACACTGGTAAAAACAAAAAAAATATGGGGTTCTCAACCGAATCCAATTATGCCCATATTTAAATTGATCATATCTATGAATCATATCTCATTGGGTTGTACCTCAACTACACCAACACCTATCGCCAGACCTCGTCAGACCTTTCCCGGTGACGTTTTTAGAGGACCCATTCCTTCCATGGCCTAAAAAAAAACACCATCCCTTATACCATCCCATGGCCCGCAAGTGATATCAACCGGCCAGCGTCCACCGGCGTGGCATGAAGCCAAGCCGATAGGTCCAGAACCAAGACGTAGATGCCCAGAGCTGTCAGGAACCTGAAACTCCCAATTGGATACATGGCATGTGCCCCACAAAAAATGTGAAAAATTGGTGGCAAATCCACTAAAATTGCCGTAATGAACATCAAATTAGTGGTAAAATGGTGGTAAATCCACGAAAATTCTGGTGACATCAAGTTAAATCTATTGAACAGTACCATAAAATGAAGGTAAACAACTGCATGATACTGCATGGAACAGCACAGTGGTACCCCTTCAGCTGAGCAATCCAGCCGATCGTTAGATTTTTGTTGGGCTGATGACCTTGTCCTGTTGAGCTTAAATTTATTAAATGTGGTGTGACCCCAAGCTATCTAGGGAAAGTAGGTTTTGACCCAAAGCCATATCCAAACTTGGGAAAAATGTGACTCCCAAATCACCCCCATCTGAGGTTTGCCTGGAAATTGCGTGTCCAAATGGGAAAGTCGCCTTTTTTTCATCTGGAAAATGATGAACCAATGGATTTATCGATATATACCCTCTGGTAAACGTTAACAAAAAGCTATTGAAAATGGCCATAGAAATAGTGGAATTACCCATTGAAAATGGTGATTTTCCATAGTTATGTAAACGTTTACCAGAGAGTATTTTCAACAAACCCATGGTCTCAATGGGATGTTTGAACCAGCCTCAACTCGTTCCCGCAGAGCCGCTGGGGTTCCAAACACGTGCGCCATGTTGTAGTACATCTCTTGGCCAGCAAAGTCCCACGTCTGCACCACCACCTTTTCAGGGGGTGTGTCCATTGGGATTCGATAAAAATGGGCTGAGGACCCTTGTAAAATTGCCATTTCTACTGCGGAAACTGATGATATATGGGTATATATCTAACAAAACTGCAGTTTTTAGTGGGGAAAATGATGATAAACACATAAAAATTTGACCCCATCATTGCTAAAATCTCAGCCAGGTGCTGAAAGTAATACGTACTATATCATCTCACGGTGTGCAATTCCGTAGTGGATGTCCCATAGGGAAAATGAAAGTCATCCGCAGCAAATCCCTATTGAACCGTTATGTAAACCCAGTATGTGATATTACATATCTATCACCCATGGTATCTCACATTTTCCCGAGTTTCACTCATTGGTATCCAAGGTATTTCACCCATATATCATCCATTGAAGATGCGGCATCATGTGTTCTTTTTATCCAATCATTTCCAGTGATCATCCAATATAATTTTGCCCATTGAAGCACTGGTTATATGATATACATTGATATACCCATTATATATATATATACACATCATATTAACTATCATATGCTATCATCTATCGGGAATCCATATGTTCTGAAAAATAGATAAAAATAGTAGATAAGAAAATATCAATAATTAATCACCTATTACCCTCTGGCAATTTAACATAGCTATTGAAAATTGCCATTTAGTTCGTGGATTTACCCATTGAAAATGGTGGATCGTTCCATGTGTAGTTGTTCATACTTATCATGGTATTTTCAGCTGGATGATCAATCTAATGTCGACCCAGGGTACCATAAAAAAAGTATCATATTATGACTATTGGAGGAATACCCCCCTCCAAAAAATAGACCATGGTTTAGTCTCATCCGGGGTTGACATTATACATTGGACTAAATGATTAAATCAGTGATCAATCTATATCATGGATGATCATAAAAATACTTATCATAAACAGAGGGTAATCCCACTAATATCCCATTAATATCCCATTGAATCATACAAAAAAAACCCACTCATATCCCATTAATATCCCATTGAATCACTATAAAATCCCATTAATATCCCATTCATATCCTATTGAATCCTACAAAAAATTCCCCATATATACCAGCACCATGGATCCATCATGGGTACTGAAAAATTCCCCAGCGAAGGCCATCGCCTCTTCGGCTCGTTTTGCCAATGCTTCCCCCGAGATGGCGCGCTGGATCATCAGCACCGTGTCCTCGGCCAAGGCGTCGCCTGGAGGCGGGCGAAAAGGCGAAAAGGCGAAAAAACCTGGGGAAATGGCGGGTTTTTTGATGGGAAAATCCTGAAGAACATCATCTATAAATGCTGGTGTTTTCATATGTTTTCATGGAAAAATCATGAAGAAATTGGGATTGTCATCGGAAATTGATCTTTACATTGGGTTTCTACATGTTTCTACTAAACTCACCTTGAAATGAGGATTTAAACAACAAATCAGCTGGTTTCAAGCAGTAAAATGGGGATATGATTGATACATGATTTATTTTCTGGTGCTGATGATCACCGCTGCTGAAATCAACAAATTCGGGCATCATATGGGGGACCATCCAAAATGGGGACATTTGTAATATCACTTAAGCAGTCCAAAAATGGTGGTATCAAGTGTCGATGGACTGGTGCAGGGTTTCCTGCTGTTCAACCAGTTCGATTGTCCACCAGTTTGGGGAATCTCCCGATACCTTCATTCTCCTGTCTGAGTCTTGACGGGGTAGATGCTTGTAAAAGAACACAAGGGAACTATCTTTGAAATCCTGTCATTCTATCCGTGAATCTTAAAACCATTTGCAGTATCTATAGTAGTGCTTTGTGCCCTTGAGAAATTCTCACCTTTCAGCTCCGTCTTGGCTTCTACAAAGCGATACCAGGATTATCATGTGTCATAATTGACCTCAGAGATCATCTGAGCGTTGAAAAATGATTAGGGAACATCCCTTGCAATGGTTTGTTTCATATGGAAATCAATCATATCTTGGTGGGAAAAACAACACAGCGTTGCCGCCGTACTAGAATCCCCCCAAAACCACACCCTTGGTGCGGCTGGTTCATCAAAGAGCCAAGAACTGGCCAGTGGCCATGGTTCCCCCGACCCATTTTTTCGGTGCCTGTGCTCCTACCCTTGACGCTCGTCGCCGGAGAAGCATCCTGGGATATGGCTATGGAGCGACCAGTCGCATCCGAAGCAGTGATTCAACGTGGAATATACTGATTATTCAGAGGATATATTCAAGGATACAACTATTAGAATATATAATTCATATGGGCATATGGCTATGGGTCAAGTGGCACTTTCCCTTTTACAAAAAAACCAAACAGCTGCTGAAAATCTGATGGCTATGGATGATTCATCCCCGCAGGGATGTTTGCAAATTTCGGCACATGTGAAAAACCAGCGACTTCAACGGAACAAGGCTTCCCAACAATCACGAAAAATCTCACTTGGCATGGTGGTAATGAACCAACTATTTTTGGGGGGAATCCGTGAGAATCCATCTCAAAGCATCCCAAACCATTTCAGGATGTGCCATGGTGGTATGTGTGGTATGGTCATGCATCCCACAATGGGACACCAAAAATAAAAAACCATCTGCTTATGACTAACAGTTCGCCATGGAAAATCACCATGTTTGATAGATAAACCCAGGTAAACCATCTATTTCGATTGGGGCCATGGCTTCCATGGCTATGTAACAGTCATAACCAGAGGCTACAAATTCCAAAGGATTCATGACCATCCCCCAATCAAAGCCATACCCCGCCCGTTTTCCAATCCCATGAAAGACCCTCTGGTAAACGAACGAACTAACAGTTTTTGCGAACTGGAACATCACCATTTATCATAGGTAAATCAACGAACTATAAACTATATATGATCAGTTTCTGTTAAATTACCAATTTATAATAGGTAAATCAAGTATAGTATAAATGATCATTTTCAATAGCACGCCGTTAAATTACCAGAGGGTACTGCTTGGTCGAAAAATATTCCTATGGCTTAAGTTCATAAGCCCAGGTAGCGGCTCTTAAATTTTGGGTGTTTTTGTTCCAAGAAATTCACCAAAAAAATCAGGGTACATCCAAGTTATAGAAGTCACCATAGAAGTTGTACCTTCATAGTTACCATCTGGTTATTTAATGTAGCTATTGAAAATGGCCCAGTCGAAATAATGATTTTTCCCATTAAACATGGCGATTTTCCATATAGTTTTGTGTATATTTACCAGAGGGTATAGAATCTATCAATCCCCATGGAATTTCAGAAGATCCCCATATTTCCACGACAGATTTGTTCTCCAGCCAACTTTTCCCACACCTGGAGTTCCGCAGCCAGACTGGCCTGGGCCTCAGCAGGAGAACCATCCCAGTTGGGGATTGACCTATGGAAATGGTGATGTTCAAATAGTTTGCTATGTTAAATCTAAAAAGATAGTAACCTGATATAACCAGTCCAACATCTGAGGCAAAAATGTGTGGGACTTCAAGTGGGAATGAACTTGAATGAACCACCCACAATTGGGACTTCATAAGTGACACTTTGATTTTTTGTGAGAACAATGGTGATTTAAACAACTATCAATGATTTTTTTTTGGGAAATGTTGGCCCCAAATACAGGGGTTTCAGGCAGACATTCCCTTCCATCCAATTCAGGTATTGAAATTGAACAGTAAAATGGTCATCATACCCTTTGGTAAACGTTTACATAACTATGGAAAATCACCATTTTATAGTTGGATAAATCAACTATTTCTATGGCCATGTTCAATAGCTTTTTTTTATGTTTACCAGATGGTATTTTTTGGGGGACCAATGTGTGACAATAAACAGGAACAAGATGAGCGAACTGGTTTTCATGGGATTCCGAGCTCATGAATTATGATCACCCCCAGTACCCTCTTGGTAAACGCTTACAGTTTGCTATGGAAAATCACCATGTGTAAATCAACGAACTATATAAATGATCGTTTTCAATAGCTATGTTAAATTACCAGAGGGTATATTGGGTAGTATAACTTCCAAGAAATCATCAAGCAACTGTATAGTTGTGTTCAAACTGCTCTCAATTGGGTTTCAAGAAGCCTTGGGGACAAATATACTTGTGCAAAAATTGTGCAAAATGTATGTGGTAACCATCCCCTTATTCCCATAAATGGATTGTGAAAATCATCACCCAAGGGTAGCTTCACTTCTGGGTGTACGACTTGGTAATACTCCTTTTCTTATGACTAGTTCGTTAAAGATACCCAATTTTTAAGCTGGCTGTATCATAGCTGCATCATCTTGAACACAGGTGCTTATCATTTATACGCCCCTGTTTTCGTTGTTTCATCCCCATCATTGTTGGCTGCGTGCTCATGTTCATTGGGAATATCCTAACTATTCCCACTCCTTGTTGGCTATATATATACATATCTGATCCCAATTCTTTGTTTTCACATCTAGTCTCTCTTGCATGTACTCTACCTGAAACAACAGAGGACAGCAGATCCCCTTCCAAGACGTGTTGTGGATCAATGGTCGTTCGGGAGCCGAAGTTCTAGTTCCAGGGTTCTACCACTCACTGTTTTAATGTGAGAGCATAGAGCACCACAGTCAAACTTGGTGTCTTGGTTTGCACCTCTGAACCTAGATTTTCTGCAAAAAAAAACAGTATACCCATATATAATCCCTTAATAATCACCATTTATCATAGGTAAATATCATATATGCTTCTGGGTCAAAACTTGGGTTCCCGAAAATCTGGATACCAATAACCCAAATCTGCGGTAACCCAAAAAATGCTATGCCTGGCCTTCATGGTGTCGGCCACAGTAATGGCCACCTTCTCCTGCCGTTGGGGTGTGGATATGAAAATAATTGGGATGATTTATTGAAATTTGGAGATATTCAGATGCATGATCTTATGCAAATTCTTGGAATATTCTGGGGATATTGAACAATTCTACCCTTAAAGAAATGAACCCCCACTATTATTTGGGTTTGTAACACCACCTCCTAGTATGGTAATATATGATACCTCAATTATGATAATTATCCTACAACACTATGATTATTCATGATTATGATCCATTCAATCCCGAAAAAATATGTTCATGTTTTTAGCTTTTGGTAAGTTATGATCCTTACCCTCTGGTAAACGAATGTTTGCGAACTGGAAAATCACCATTTATCAATAGGTAAATCAACTATTTCTATGTATGATCATTTTCCAGTTCGCAAACTATTTTTCATATATTTTTCATAGTAAATAGTGATTTACCATGATTTACCCAACTATAAAATGGTGATTTTCCAGTTCGCAAACTATTTTCCATCGATTTTCCAAAGGTTTCCCGCAATCTTTGGGGCACCGGTGGTTTCACCCTCCCCCGATGACCTCAAGGAGCTTCGCCACAGAGCCCAGACCTTCCGACAGCTCTTGCCACGCCCCGTTGATCTGCGCTCGGGACAAGTTTGACCCAAAAAGTCTGAGTTTTATGGGGATTTAATGGTGATTTAATGGTGATTCTACCATAAAAACCATAGGAATTGATGTTTTAATCAATGAATTGATTTTTTAATCAATGACAATGAATTGATTTTTAATGGTGACTCAATGATGGTTTAATGGGATTTAGTTGATGAATCGTAGTTTTTATGATGATTTAACGGTGATTCAATGGGATTTGATGGTGATTTACCTTGGAAATTGAGAAACTCTAAACCAACTGTGGGGCCCGGAATCTACAGATTGTCTTCCTTCCACATCTATGTTAGTTTACCCTAGGCTAGATGCTACTAAATTCTGGTGATAAGTGATATGCGTGTATTGATGGTATATGATTTATGCTGTAATAGTTGTGGAAAAAATGGGAAGCGATATTACTATATTATAATTGGGGATTACTATATCACAATTTGAAGGAAAAATCATGTTTAAACATTGAGGATATGTAAATCATATATGATATCAATGCGGATTTTTTCCGGATATCACCATCTCTTACAGCTAAACTTGGAGATTGAACCGTCAAGGGTTAAGTTACCAAAATGGATATTGGGTGTAACTGAAAATGGACTAATGTTAGGCAATAAACCACCCACATGGATCGTTGTTCCTTACCGCTTATGGTAAAATGGGGGGGATAGTTTACTATTGCTATACTAACATCATACCTCCAAAACTGATGACAAATCAGTGGAGTTGGGCGTGGCAAAATCATTGGGGCACTTCTCAACTTCTCGGCCCATAGATGGCTGGTCATTTTCAGCACTACCCCATACATGTTTGGAGCCCAATGATTTTGATTCATTCCCATATATAATATATATATATATGTATATATATATATATACATATGATATAATAAGCCAGAAGAATGCTAGGTCTAAGACTGCAACGGCTCTGCCAAGGTTCCTGTTAAATCTGGATTGAGGGTTGAAAACAACGTAAGGGAGATCGACTTTGAAGAAACCAGCGCAAAAGAACATAAGGCGGGAGAAATTAGACAAAATACGGGGAACATATATGTATCAAACTATTACACTATTGATGGAATAAAATGGTAGAACATAGTGAAGAACATGTGGAATTACAATTGGTATCAAAAAGAAGAAAATCAATACGAGAGAAACCGAAGAGGAAACTGTCAGTTTTGGGGCAACAACATTGATATCAACAATCATTCATTCTGTGGATTGAATTCATTTACTGTAGTGTCAATATTCTTAGCATACTCGAATTACAAATGATTCAAACCATTTTAATCCACTGGATCAACGATTGTTATATCAATAGGCTACATATGGCTCACCATCACACGATGGTGAAAGTCAGATTCAGTTCCACAGTTCGTTGCTGCTCAAATGCCATGTCGCTGTGTCTGGTTGTTGCAGCCCATCCAACTGATTTTAAGTGCCTTTGACATTTCACAGAGGGATTGCCGATACGGCCGATACGAATCTACCAAGAAGTGACAACAGAATGTCAAAATGTTGCAACAAATTTCACAGATTCAAATCAACTCACTATATCAATGGCCATTTTCCAGTTCGCAAACTGTTGACATAACCAGAGGGTAAAAAGAAAAGGAAAAGAAGGAAGCTGCGGGCCACTGACTCGGTGGTCTCTCAAGTCTTGGTCTCATGAAATATAAACGTTGGTTGTTGCAGGATGGTGCCTCCAAACGTGATGTTTTAAATAAGTTGGTTTTAATAAACACCATTAAAAAAAACTAGTTCGTGAAATATCTGCCATATAGTGACTAGTTCGTGAAATGGGAGTTATAAACGCAGCAACTTAGCGATTTAGCTCACTGGGGCGCCTCGGAGCCTGGCTTCCCGGGGGTCCAGAGCTCCTGCCGTTCCGTTCTCCCAAAATCCATCGGGAAAAAAAGGTAAATCCCTAGTAATTTGATGATGCTTTATATCATATGGATGATGAATGATGATATGTATGTCATAAGTACCATATAATATATAAATATACAGTACATATATATATATATATATGTATGTATGTATATATATATAATCAAAGTATGGTTTAATGGATGATTGGATAAGAACCATTGGAGTATTACGGAAGCCCCTTCCTTTTGATGCCTTTTCTGAAGATGCCACCAGGATGTGGTGCCACCCAGCCATGACTTGGGGTAAAAATGTCGGTTGGTTCCAAGGGGGGTCGAGCTGCTCATTGGAAAAAAATGACGTGTCGAGTCTAATCATCAATCATTGGATTGGTTTAAGGGAAAATCTACAGGAAACCATGGTTTTTACCATCAAATATAGGGCTCTCCTGTAAATTTTCCCATCATCCAATTCTATGAATCAAAGGTTATGAGATTTCTATGAGATTTACTAAAGCAGGTCATGTCATATTAGTTCATATATCCAAGAAATATATGTTTAATATTGTTTAATAACTAGAAAACATAAATCTGGGATGATCACAAAATACAGAGCAATATACAACATGTACATAACAATCAATTAGACAATTGACCATGCTATGGGATTAAGACCTTTAACATACTGTGGATCATCAATATACAACCACAAGTGTTCTCAAGGTTATTCAGTCCCTATGACCGGAATTGAAACAGGTCGGGCAATGCTTACCACGGTTACCTGGTGCTGCAAGATCTAAAATGGGGACAAAGAGACAAACCCGAAAAGATCTCGCAAGAAATCCTGTGGATGGGCCAGCAAAATCCTGCACCTCCTTGGATGGTTGAAACATGTTGAAACCCTATAAATAGTGGGATGTTTACCACCTACCAGCTAGTGCAGGATTTCGCAACCATCCACCGTAGGAGAATCTTTTCAGTGTTTACGTAAAACGTAAAACCGTGAAATTTCTGGATGTACCGCAAGCAGTTCTTGAAAGCTTGAGGCGATGCGTTTACTTCCTGTCAAGGGATGCCAATTTTGACGCCAAATCCTTGGCAACTTGAAGGAACTTTGCCGAACTTGCCAGGATATTTAGGACATTTTAGGAAACTCTTTTCCTACCATGTTTAAATGACATGTTTCCCCAGGGTATGTATTTGAAGGAAACGTCCCCAACTTGTTTTAAATGGAAATTCATCAGGGAATTGATGTTCCATGAGGATGTTTTAGGAGGTTTCCCTGCTTTTTTCAAACAGAATTTCTCCTCTTTTTGTAAGGGAACTTCCCTGGGGATTTGGGGGAGACTCTCTCTGAAGATTGGTTTACCTGGAACTTTTGGGAAAATCCTCCTGGATTTGGGGGAACTGCACCGGTAGTTACGTAGTTTACTATGTAGTGTAACTTCCCCTGGTTGTGTGTTTTCTGAAACTCGTTCTATTTGATCTTTGGGGAACTTCCCCCAGGGATTCACGGGGGAACTTCACAAGGGAGTTCGAGGCTTGCCAGTCCAAATCTAAAATCTCGGTGTCCTCCAGTACATGAATAATCATGAATAGAGATATGCATAGCTAGGCTTTCCCCATAGGCTTTTCCATGTCTGAAAAAAAACCTGGTTTTTGACTCCTTCAGCTCGAATCAGAAAGCTATCCTACTGTGCTGCAAAAAAAGCATCTTCATCGGAACATAACAAACGCTGAAAGGATGTCATAGCTACATATAGCTACCTATATGATGTACCTATGATTCCTATGATAAGTTTTGCTAAGGTGGATGTAGTCATCCTGTAGTCATCCAGTGGAACGCGTCTGTCCTTGTCGAGCGTACAGCTCTTGGTTTCCACACCTCGCTAGCGGAGCGTTGACGCAGTTGACGCCCAGCAATGACCAAAGGTAACCGAGAACCGTTCGACCATTTTCGTTGTCAAGGTACCATCTTGTTATTTAACATAGCCATGGGAAATGGCCTACTTATAGAGGTTTACCTATTAAAAATGGACAATTTTCCATTTGCCTTATGTGATTGATAATCATGATTATCATAGGGTTTCATGATACCCTCTGGTAATTTAACATAGCGAACTGGAAAATCGCCATTTTTAATAGGTAAATCAACTATCAATTACCCATTTTCCATAGCAAACTGTTAATCCTGACAGAATCGTCAGACACTGCAAAAAAGTTGGTGCATGACCCATAGGATCCATGGTGCTGCTATATATGGTGTGCCATGGATCCCATCAATATACCCCTTTTATGTTAGCATATATACCAGCACCATGGATCCTATGGGTGATAAGTTTAGAGGGTAAACAATGACAGTCATAGCTGCCACCCCAATGGTGGCGGCTCATCCCAAACTCCGATCTCAAAAGTTTCCCCGAACGTTGGGGGGATCCGAAAATCGACGCTTCCAAGGTCGTATCAAAAAATACGATATATTGGATACATACCATTGGTTGGTAATATACTGTTATATAATATTAATGGTTAATATAGATGGTTATTATATGGTTAATGATAATAATATACTGGTTGGTGGTTGAGCCTACCCCTCTGAAAAATGATGGAGTGAAAGTCAGTTGGGATGATCATATATTCCCAACTGAATGGAAAAATAAAATTCCATGGTTCCAGTCACCACCAACCAGATATCTATTGTAAATATCTGTAAATTACCTTACATATCCCTATTGAAATGGCATGGTTCAACGGTTAAACCATGGTTAAACCATATCAAACCTCCCATGTTCGATGGTCCCGGTCGACATGGTCGACATCCGGCAAGATGCCATGGGTGCTCTGCTGCTTCGGGTTGAAGTCCCTGGATGACTGGTGGGTTTTTGATAGGAATGGTTGAGCATCATGGGAAGAGTTCAGCAGCTATACATAGCACTGTGCTATACTCTCTGATTCTTGGCCAGCTGTGCTATACTCAGCCTGATTCTGAAGTATCTTAAGTTGTCTCCTGGAACTTCGGGATTTCCAAGTCATCTTGTTTATTGCGGGAGTATTTTTTTGTCACGATCGTTCCAAGATTGCCCGGGGGTAATCCATGGATTAGCGGAGGGAAATTGAATCGGCTTGGGAACTGGATAACCCTCGGGAACAACAAAAAATGACAACAAGATACAACAAGGTTGATACCTCGCATGGGGATCTCGGCCATCCAACATGGGGGGGACAAGGAATACCACAAAAAGCGCGAGGAGAAGGGTCTGTTGGCAAGTTGGCAACCAGAAAATTCTGGGTTTTACTATGGGTTTTACTATGGGTTTACAAAATGTTTTGCTGCTGACTTCAGAGCAGGAGGATTCCATTCCAAGTTTACAGATGCCAATAGTTCTCATCACATTGGTGGCCCTGAAGCCATCAAACAGACTTGGCCGCTGCCTCCAAAGTTGTCTTTAGGACCCAAGAGGTTTAGCTGGACAGGACTGTGCCCCTCAAAGCTTGCCCAAATCTCTGCGAAAAATGATGGTTGTTGGCTATGGGTCAAAATTAGGTACCCCAATAATTGGATGGTTAATACATGTTAATACTAAACTAGACTAACATAAAAGTGGTCCCACATCGGTCTTCCATTTTGACCCACATGAAGATATTGATGTGTGTGATATCCGATATCCCAACGTTGCTGAAGATCCCAACATACAAAAAACGATGGAAAGATCCACCATTTTTCAATGGGTACAGTAAATCCACTATTTCGACTGGGCCATTTTCAATAGCAAACTGTTAAATTGCCAGAGGGTATATATTTCAATGTGACCATTTATAGTTGATTTTCCCATCAAAAATGGTGACTTTTCCCCAGTTTTTGTTGAATGACCAGGCCGGGTTTTCCACTTAGTTCGAGGAGTCCCAGCCATGTTTGATCGCCTGCCGGAGAGAGAACGCAACGTGGAGGTCTTTCCAGCCCGTGCATGGCCCACCAAACAGAGCTTCACCGAGTGGAGTGGCTGCACCCCCTGGGGCAGGTCACGGGTCCCGTTGATGGTCACTGGTGAATTTTACCCATGGTTGTTGTCAGAAAATTTAAGAGTTTATCCATAGTGATGGGAAATAAATGGGAAATAAACATTCATGGAGAGTTTCTGTTTCATGTTGTGTCTTCCCAAAACAGTTTAAGATAGTTTTCCAGCCCCTTGGTGCCACCAGCCTCTTTCATAGCCGTGCGGAACGCACGCATGGCAGCAGGGCCTGAAAGTCATGTCTGTCGTGAATGTCATCTATTGGACAGCGTCAAAACAAGTGTCTATATTGTTTATAAAACAAGTGTCTGAATCTTGCTTATATTAATTAGTTATCTGATCTGATTTGTTTATACATCTAGATATGATATGATATGATCTGGACCTGTTTGCGTAAATTTATGGACAAAGTCCATCACAATATCGAACGTAAATAGAACAAATATGCCACTGGATAGTTCACGGGGGGTTAACCTCCAATTTTCATGAATCAACCGGGCAACCGGGCTTCCCGCCCATCACGAGAGGAAATTAGTCTGTGGCATTATCATGATACATGTTGATATATACTGTATATGGGTTTTTAATCTTGCACTGAGGTGGTAAAGCAAATAATCAATCAACGACTATGAGCCCCCCAAACTAAACAGACACGGCTTGGACAAACGATGCAACACTGCAGCTTTTGTAGTGGGTTTACAGCATTGATTGTCCGGAAATGTTATCAATGTTCACTTGAAATAGTGGCTGTAACCCTATGGATCCAAACACTGTCTGAGAAGGTACTTAACCCCTAAATCATACCCCAAGTACTTCCTATGAAGGTACTTGGATCCATAGGGTAAGAATTCAAAAGCCATTTAAGATCCATTTGCTCTGAAATGTTGGCGGCAGAGTCTTGGAACAATGCACCATTTCCTCTCGAAAACTGCAATACTTTGCCAACTCCGACACCGGAAAAACGGAGCAGTGGACCAGGATTCGCTCGATGTGATGTGTCACAATGACAACTTGTGAGGTTTTTGATAGGAATAGATCCAATCGCACTGGAAAATACTGGAAACATTCAATCAAATTGGAATATATATTATATTAAAAATTATGATGTATTAGATATATATATATATATTAAATATATCATATGTATATATAGAACTATATAGATGTATATAGGAAGAATTCATATAATTAATAGCATACATCGCCATCGCCCAGCAGTGGAGCTACGCCTTGTCGCTTCAGATCCTGCGCCAACGCTTCGTGCAACGGTACCTGACATGGGAAAACAATTGTACAAACCATGGGAGAAAATAGGAAAAACACATGGGAAACACCGGGCTACACCTCGATATTTGAGGGGAGAAACCTGGGTTGTAGATTTCCCCCCAACCCAATGCATCAATCTAGCAGTGTCCAACAGAAACAGGTGCATTTGATTGAAATTGATGGCCCACTTTTGCCAGGCGAAGTACAAAAATCCAACGTCAAGGTATTCGTCCTCTGATTTAGGCGATAATTCTGGCGGTTCACCCCAAGAATCGTATAATAAGTGGCTTATAACATGTCCAAACCTCGGCAATGGCGGGGTAAATCCAGCTACAACTGGGCTGAACTCAGATCCGATTCATGGGGTGAAACAATTGGATGGATCAGGATGCTATGGACGATGATTTTCATGATATCTTTCATCATATTTACATTAATACCCTCTGGTAATTGAACAAAAAACTATGGAAAGATCCACCATGCTATTCATGGGAAAATTCTCTATGTCAATGATAATGTTCCATAGTTGTTTGTTAAATTACCGGAGGGTATCTACATATTTCCAACTTGTTCATCTTTGGGCTTGCCATGACAAAACAAGCTCGATGTAAAAATCTCCGGTTTCGCCTCCTCGTCCAAAACCCACTCCTCGACCTCGCGGGTGAAACCCGAAGAAACATCGACAGGAAAGAGCAAGATATTTCTGTTTTCTTATCTGGTTGGTGGTTGACCTACCCCTCTGAAAAATGATGGAGTGAAAGTCAGTTGGGATGATGAAATTCCCAATATATGGAACAATAAAAAATGTTCCAAACCACCAACCAGTTATGTTTTTGATCAGTGTGGTTTGATTTCTCCAAAAAACATCCAACAACTTCCGTAAAATTCTGTGGCTTTCCTGTGCCTCTTTTTGTTTAACATTGGTTAATGAGGGGCTTGCAGACATGTTGGAACCATGCTGATTCTCTCTTCAAATCTAAACAGAACCAAAAACCATTGAACATGGCCAGTTATAGTGGAATTTCCCATGAAAAATGGTGGATGTTTCCATAGTTATGTTAGATATCATAAGGATATAATATGCATTAATATGCCAATATTGATATTCTGATATAACATGGCAAATCACTTCTGGGTGCCTTGGGATTCTCATGGATTCTCCTTTAAAAAAAACAGTTCCCCTCGTCAGTCACATGGCAATAAAAAACCTCCACTTCCCGGATTTTCGAGCCAGCCACAAATGACAAGCCAGCCACAAATGACAACATTGCGGGACCCATAATGATCCCCAGTAAATCATTGCGAAGCAAGAGCTGAAGTCAGATCCATATCAGTCACGGAAAACCCATGTCATAATAGTCCTCGAAATTCATGGAATTGATGTCCATTTTCTGGATTAAGCACTGACCATCACTTACCCTCTGGTAAACTAACAGTTTGCGAACTGGAAAATGGCCCATTTATAGCTCATTTGTGTATCAAAAATTATGATTTTCCATACTTATGTAAACGTTTACCCGAGGGTATGGCTAATATAAACCTGGTTGGTGGTTTCACCGGTTGGTGGTTTCAACCTACCCCTCTGAAAAATGATGGAGTGAAAGTCACTTGGGATGATGATTATTCCCAACTGAATGGAAAGTCATAAAATTCATGTTCCAAGCCACCAACCAGATATCATCATAATAATATATAATCATAGATGGATATAGATGGAATATTGTCCATTGCCATAATGGTATTTGAAACTATGGCTAATATCAACGATGTTCCATCGATTATTCCATGGTTCCAAACCACCAGTATCCCAAGATTCTTGGTTATTGGGACATTTAGGATATCCGGTTAGCATGTTTAGATATGTTTAGGATATTAAATGTTCCAAACCACCAACCATCGATTATTCATTTAATATCCTAATATAGATATTAAACATTGGAACCTAGTTTATATTAGGATATTAAATGTTCCAAGCATCGGATTATTCCATGGTTCCTAATATAAACTATGTTCCAATGCTCAGCGCTGCTACCCCCTGTTGAATTTTCACCATCGATACCTCCATCTCCAGCTGCGGGGGCGGCTCCTGATTCATGGCATGACATGGGGAGATCATAAGGATATACGTGGCCTGGTAAACATACAAAAAACTATTGAAAATGGCCATAGAAATAGTGGATTTTCCCAGTAATCATGGTGATGTTTCATAGTGATGTTGTTAGATCATAAGGATACAGTATGCCAATATTGATATTCCGATATAATAAGGATGATATTCTGATATGAAGTCCCATATAATCTCATATTCTGATATAATAAGGATGGAAAGGAATATCAGAAAATACTAAGAATATGAGATTTAATGTGACTTCATTGAGGGTTGAGATATAATCTTTGTACAGGAACTCTATTGATGCAACAAGACCCGGAACAGAATTTAAATATTTGGCGAGGTTCAGCAATCTTTCAAAATGTCTCACCTGCAGAGATAAATGGATTTTGATTGAGTTGTTCCTCAATTTGACCCATCTGTGGTACCTTTTGCGCAGCAATGAGGGTCACAACAACTGCGGATCTTTAAGTGTACAAACTACGGATGAAGGCAGTAAAGAAACATGAAGCTAATTCAATCACTGACATATCCACAGTAGACGTGTCCCTTAGGACAGGCGACCTGAGCTCTCCAAGAAATCTGCCGTTTATCGGGTGGGTTTCCCACATGGATGACATGTCGCCTTCCGCGCCTCACTGGACTCGTTCAACTCTTCCGTTTGCCAATACGTGGCCGAAAAATCCTGGTCACAGTCGCAGTGTGGAAGTTCCACAGGTTCCATCAAAACAAAGCTGTGGATTGGATCTGAAGATCTGGCAGCATGGCATGGCACATGGTTCTGATATGTTCCAATTTTCCTTCTCTGGGTCTATGTCATCGATGTTCCCATCGATGTTCCCATGAATCAATTCCTCCGAAACACGCCCGTCAAGTCATTGGCACCTCGGAGCTGGCTTGGGTCTGCAAGTCCTGCGAACCGTGGACAGCTGGTTCAGGCTTCACCTGGGGATTCCTCCCTGAAGATTGAAGTCTTTTTGCGACTCAGGTTGCGGGAACAACTTGCAAAGAAAATTTGGTCTCATTCAGAATCAGGGTTTCCTGTAAATTTCACCAAAACATACCAAAACCATAGTTTCAACTGGAAAACCACTGGCTGGTGAATAGAGGACAAATCTTGCTGCAGGCTACAGATTTCACTGGCTGATAACTGATATCAATCCACTCACTCGCTGATGTGCTGAATTTGAATCCAAGTCGCGATTTCAAGTACCTTGCTTATGATAAATCCCGCGCAGAAGGTCACATCCTATCCAAAAAATATTCCCATCAGTTTTGTTGTTTATTCTTAGTCACTTCACCGTGATATGGCTTTGTCAAAAGAAATCAGTGTTATCAGTACATTCTGGATGCTGAACCGTTGAGTGATTCAATGGAATTATCATTTATGAGCCCCATGATTGAACCCCATTCTTACATTATCATTCATTAATTTGAAAAGAAAACGCACGGAAGGCGCCTGACTTTGTCACAGAATCAGGTCACGTCACTTCAAAAAGAATCTGTTGCAGATGAACTATTCCCTTTTTTGTTTGGTAATGTTTAAGCAACTAGCAAATCTATGAACCCCTGGAAAAAATGCCCTTGAAAGCATCCTGAAACTCCCAAAATCCCATTGTACAAATCCCATTATACAAATCCCATGAAATTCCACTAAAATGCATCCATTGATCTCCTGCTTCGAGTGTTTCTGCGTGCTGACTCTGCGCTTTAACTTTGGCGCATTCGTCAACTTTTCTGCGTTGCCGACAGAGCTTCCGGCACTGGAGGAAGATTTGCCTGGATTAGAGCGGTGGTAAAACATGGTAAACCCAATGGTGAAGCAACCATTTTTGGGGGGTCTAATGTGGTAAAAACAATTGTAAAATATTATACAGTAAACATGTATAAACCATCCCCAACACGTGGATAATGTTTGGTGTTCCCATTTTCATCCATTTTCCAGAAGCCCAGATACCTCCATATTCCTGGCTCAGTCATGGAGGTACCCCAATGGAACGCTTTTGATGGTTTATTGATGTTTGATGATGTTTGTATTTCATGGAAAATCCATCATCTATAAATGGATTTGGGATATTTGGGGGCTACCCCTATGACTTGCGAAACCACCTTTTATGAATAAATACCAAGCTCTTCCCTTAGCATGGCCCGGTGATCCTATTGCTGGGATATCATGGATCACCACACCCCCGAAACGAATCTTTACATGATACCCTGGTTGGTGGTTGAGCCCTACCCTTCTGAAAAATACATATGAGTTCATCAGTTGGGATTATTTTTCCATTCCCAACTGAATGGAAAAAAACATGTTCCAAACCACCAGGATCCCAAGATTCTTGGTCTTGTCCATTTGGGTGTGTCTGAAAATAGTGTACCCCATTTACCCAATGGTTTTGCTGATCATTATCCCGTTTTTAAATGGCTATTTCATTGGGAATATACCCAACATTTTCAGACAAACCCATTTATTTCAATGGTAACCGCTGGTAGCCCCTGGGTGGAACCCCACCTTCAGCTTTGGGAGCTATGGGCCGCGCCCGGCGCGGCCGGGTGGCGGGCGTGGAATCCAAGCTCCTGCAGGGGCAAGGGGTCCACCGTTCCCACCATTGGAGGATCCCAAGAATGGATGGTTTTCATGGAAAATCCCATCTATCAATGGATTGGATTAAGGGAAAATTTTAACCGGAAAGCCCCATGATCTTAATGGGAAAATAACTCTGGTTTCCGGTTAAAATTTTCCCTTAAACCAATCCATTGAATCTATAAAATAGATGATTTTGGGGTACCCTTACCTACCTCCATTTTAGAGATATTCTATAGGAATTTAACCTCCACATCTAACTTTTGCACATTGATTGGATCAACTTGATTCCATCATTTTCAGGAAATTGCGACTTGTCATGGCTGGATCTTCTTCGGGTTTTCGGAAATTGAGACTATGAAAAAAAAACGCATCGCCGCACCATTCGGATCCATATGGGTATGTCTGAAAATGGGGTATACCCCCAATTATAGCCATTTAGTAGGGATAATGATCAGCAAAACCATTGGGTGTAGGGGTACACTATTTTCAGACAAACCCATATCTGAAGCCATAAAACTCGCTTAAATCGTAGTGGAGCAAAGGAGACCCCCAATTCACTTCCCAAACCAGGGCTGTGTTTTACATTATTATATACTGTTAATATATGGTGAATATATATGGTTATTATATGGTTAATGATAATAATATACTGGTTGGTGGTTTTGAGCCCTACCCCTCTGAAAAATGATGGAGTTCGTCAAATGGGACGATTTTTCCATTCCCAACTGTTCATGGAAAGTCATTCAAAATTCCATGGTTCCAGTCACCACCAACCAGTGATTATTAACCATTAACCATCATTAACCACTATTATTGGTATATAATCCCATTGAAGATATTAAAGTCACCACCAAGCAGAAATAAATTGCGACCTAACTGATGCTGGATCGTTTCTCAAAAAATGACCCAAAGATAGATCCAACTTTTGCCTGCCTTCGGGGCTCGACGCAATCTGTCTCCATCTGTGAGGCAATCATAGGTGCCTGGGGAACTGTGAATTACAGGTGTCCAAGTACGGGTCACGATATTTCTTGGGAAAAGTCTGGGTAAAACCACGAAATGAGATTACAATGAATCATAAAATGGCGCCTAAAAGCGGGTCAAAAAACAAAGTTCAAATTACGACTCTAGTGACTAGATGAGATACAAACATCAGCAAAGCTACGGTAGATACCCGGGCAATGCTTTCCGGAAGGAACAACCATTGACCTGATCCAATAAAATATATCCTGGTTTGTGTTGGCTGCGGTTGGACCCACTGTGAAATCAGATTCGACCAAGCCTTTCTACGGGACTGCTGTGTAGGGGAACTAGCATCCCAGTTGGTAAAGTCATAGGGTCATAGAGGTCAAAATCGTCAAAAACTGATAAAAACTGGGTGTAATCGATTGGTTGAATGCTTTGAAGGGAAAAACGACAGGAGACCATGATATTTGCCATGCAATATAGGCTGCAAATTTTCCTTCAAATCAATCCTAAGGTGGGTGAAGGCCAATCTGGCGGCGTTTTTGAGGTCCATTTTTGGACATAAGCCATATAATTACATAGGCGTTCAAAACGTCATATGCCCCCACAAAAATGGCCACACCAGTTTGATAGTTTATTACTAATACATATATATATACACATACTTAATATAAATACTAATACCTTGAAAAACATCAACCAGCAATTGTTGAATGATGATATCGCCTTTATGAATTCCCTTCTTCTGACCACACTCCCGCCGCGATTTCCACACTTCGGCCAGGTCCAAGGCACGTCTGGGCGGGGGACAAAAGATTAATGGAGGTGAGGCCAGCAACTGCCGCGAAGCCCATTTTTTTGGGGGGCTGATTGGAGCAATAAATGTCCATATTAATGTCCATAGATGTCCATATCTGAGATATATGTCCCATATTAATGTCCACCTTGGTCGGTGTAAATATATGTCAATGTGGGGGAATCAATAAAAATCAATGAGTGTCCCCTTTAGAGAAAATCCAAGTGATCATCCATCCCCTTTATATGAAAAACATTTGGGCGCCAAAAAGAACCCAGTCAGTATTACAGGGGGCCTTTTAATGAGCATATTTCGTAGTGGGATGGGATAGAACCTGATATTTGAGGTTGTTGGCTATTGGTGGTTGCCCAGCCCATTACATGGGTTTTAGCGAACTATACATTGTGGCAGTTTAACATAGCTCTGGAAAACGATCACATTGCCTAATTATTGAAAATGGTGATGGTGAATATATCATATCTATTAAATATCCAAAAGAATTCAAGGTAATACCCGTTTTTTTTCACGAAGGATTCATTGGGCAAATCTTGTGGCATGTCCTGCTATTGTCGGTTTTTCGCCATCCCCTCCAGAACATCAATTGTTGGGAATCATCTTCCACAACAAAGGTGGCAAATTTTGGGACAACATGGTATTTTGCGCAGGAAATATTCGGAAATATTGGTCTTTGTTCAGGATAGTTTGCAAAAACATGGTGCATCATGGTGCGCGCGAAAAACCTGCGATGTCAAATCGTCAACGAATCCCCACACCGTCAATTCTTGAGCATATTCTATCATGTTCAACCTTATTGCATGTATAACCGTATAAACCGTATAACCAACAAGACTTGAAAGCGTCAAACATCGACAAATCAACACTACAATGAATGGAGACTATGGCAATGGCCACATCTCCAACCTCTGGCGGTTGCTGCGGCATGAAGTTTCGCTAACCTACCGTGGCACGCTGATCAGCACTGAGGAGCAAGGAAAACTTGTACGACTCACCTGCTAGCTCTCTACCCGCTCGATACATACCAATCAAACAGAGTTTGATTTACGGGGAAGAAGAATCGCTTCAAAAGTTGCAGCATTGCAGAAAACCTTGGCAAGTTCCAAGGAAAACCACTTCGACAACATCGTTTGGTCCATCCGTTAATTAATGACTGTCACATTTGCTCGAAGAATAGGATCTGTCTTTGGGGGTTCCACCAAGGTTTGGCCTTGGTTTCTGCACTGGTCGCTTGTCAAGTTTCAACATGTTTCAAGCACTTCGAATCATGGTGGACATCTTCACATTGGTCCGCACGCCTGATCCAAGGTGCATGGGGATGCCAAGTCGCCATCATCGCGAGCCCGCGGGACCACAGATTCACCGTCCAAATTAATTGGGGTACTGCGATGATCGTAGCACTGGGGAGCCCAATCCAAACCAGTAACACAAACCAGATACAGTCACTATATTGGGGTACCCAATTTTGACTACCAATATTTAGTCGATGTAGCACATTTCAACGTCGTAGGCCAGCCCTTTGAAAGCGGCAGTTTGAGAAAAAGTGGCAGCAGTG